GCCGTCGAGCGACATCAATTTAATATCTCGAAGGAGTCGCAGCCGGGCTGGAGGCATCGGCTTCCGGGCCCAGGAGCGCGCAATTTAGCCGCGCGCCGAGCCGGACAGAAGGATCGACAGGAAAATCCTTTCGCCGGCAGCCTCGGAGGCGGGAAAACAGCGCGGCTCGGCCGCCTAATTGGTCGCGGCTGACAGCTGGAAGCTTTTCAGCCGTTTCCGTGGGCCGCCGACGACGACGACGACGACGCCTTTAACGACCGCGGCCGCTGTTATCGCGCCGGCGATCCATTAACACCGCCACCGATGCAATCTCGCGAAAACGCCCGGCCGCGTTTCGCCCTTTGCGATCGCTCGCCTCCGCGCGCCCCGGCCCCTTTCCGCTGCGGGATAATGAGAATTCCTGGGTTTCGAGCTCGCGAGGCTGGCGACACGTTTTCGCTGGAAAAATGAATACGGGAGTTGTGTATTGATTGGACGAACGGGTCACCGATCGTGATCTTCGGTCTGCGGGAAGGTGAGAACGGAGATTCCGGTTCGGTTGAACGGATTTGGCGGCGATCGTTGAATGGAGTTTGATATCCTGCTTGATGGGGGAGATACTGGGATTGTGTGTTTGAGGGGAAATGGCGTTATATTAATGAGGGTCGTTTGATTGTTTGATCCAGCTGTGGAATTTAATCATGATTTAACATATTACCGGATAAGTTTCAAGACAATTGTGCGGATGGCAATTTTCACTGAAGTCAACTTTTATCGTTATATATAGAGAAACTCAGATAGATTGTTATGTAATCTATTTTAAATATGATAATCAATTCGAATTAAATTTCATATTGTTTTCTATGCTGTGGCAATTAGCGAAGTTGCATAGCTAAGTGTCTTTAATGACATTAAATGAGGAATGCTATAACATTTCTTCGATCTTTTGTTTTCCTTAGTACAAAATTTGGATGCGTGGAAAATCGAATAATTTTAGGATAGTTTCTTTGAGATCCATTAAAATATTTAATATTATACTTAGTGCATTATTGGAGCTTACAGAGTTCAAAGGGTTAGCACACATATAAAAACGAGATTCCTCGTTACCGGTACGCAATGTGTTAGATTCCGATTTGGTGAGTGGTGGTGTTTCAGTTCGAACTCTATCGAAATCTTTAAGGAATATCAAGTCGATTCCAGTTTATAAGTAACGTATATTGCAAACGTTTGATTAGATTCGATAACGACTGACCACGTTTGTATCGAATCGAGCTCCGCCAAGTCTAGTTCATCTCCTAAGATAACAATGCTCCAACTCTATCGAAATACCTCACGTTGGGGCCCGTCCGACAATGTTTGACGACATTCATCCCAAACAAAGTCCCACGAGCATCTCGATAACCATCGCGCCGGTCCGATTAGGCGTCATTACCAAGCGAAATCAACAATCAAGCAACCTGTCCCCGTTCCAGCCGAATCCGCTAGACTAGTTATCCGTCCCATCAGAACTTGCCGGCAAAACTTCCGAGAAGACCGCGATTCTCCGCGAAGTGGACGACGTGGCTCGGAACTACCGGTCCGCACGCGAGCACGGAATAACTTGATCACCCCCGTTGCAACCAGGAAGGGTGAGAAGTCCGTGTAAAGGGGGCGGGAAGCGGCGATTGTGTGTGCGGGTGGTCCCTTTGAGACGGCCGAGGGAAGTCCGCTGCAACCTCCGCTGGCTGGGGATCGCCGCAGAAGCAACAACGGGCTCGCCCGACCGTTTCATTGTCCGTTGCGCGTGTTATCTCTGGACGCCGCTGATGAGGAGTCCGCGCGGACTCCGGCCCAGAATACGATAATCGAAGAGCGGGTAATTGGAACAGATAGCGGCCGCCCAGAAACCAGGTGCATCGTGGCCGGCGGCTGCCGTCGAAGCCGGTCGACCAGGAAACGGACGACACTCGCTGGTCTCGGCTAAAAAATGTCTGCCGGGAACAGCGCCGCCATCTACGTGGTCGATATCTGTAACCCAAAGGACTGGTCCGCGGTGCTCTGCGGTATTTTACGAGATCATCCGGATTCTATCGGACCGATAGAATTTTCGAAGAGCGGCTCCTCGAAGTGTTTTTCGGCGAATCGATTCGGAAGCGCTTCGGGGCTTGAATTATTTCATGTAGCCGGCCGAGGATCGCCGTAGGTTAGCTCCGAGGTGATGTAGAATGTCCAATGAAAATTCCATGAGTCCATCCCACCGGATAAAGGCTGGCGCACGGTATTTTCACGCGTTGCGACACAAGACCCGACCGCTGGAACTTCCTCCCTTCGATTATCGACCCCGAGAGGCAGCGAGCGTTCCCTCCGCTGAAGGACTCGCGCCATGCACCGCCGAATCAGCGCACGGCCCTTTGAACCTCGTTCCCCGGACGAGGAACGGGGAAATCCCTTTCAGCCCGCTGGGAATGACGCCGTCTTCTGGGATCAGCGGTGGCGATCTCGGTCGGGAAAGTCGGGTAGTTTCGATAAATTAGATCGTCCCTGGAAAGTCGCTAATACATGGACGCAATCTGTCAGTCGGCCGAATGTTCGGGAATTCGAGAAGCTTCTTTCGGAAGTGGAATGTGAGACTTCCGGTCTCTCCGTATACGTTAAATCAGCTATATCGCTGAGCAAAAAGTCTCGCATAGAATGATCCTACGAAAACCGAACGCTAACTTTCCCTCGTAAGAAGCGCCGTTCGCTCGGAAACTCAAAATTCCCACGGACGCGCGCGGTTTGAATGAAATTCCCTCGGAGGCGTCGCGCGAGAAGATTCTTCGCCGCGTTTTCGCGTTGTTTTCGTTCGCGGGGCACGCGTGGTTTTTCGGGGGAACGCCGGCCGGGTATTATTCATGAGACCCGCGGTGAATCGCGAGCGAAATTGCGGGCACGCGGTCCGTTAATTGGCGTTGAATTGATGCGCTCGGGCCTGCGCAATTGATCAGCCGGCAGGAAGGAGAGATGGCACTGTAACCGATTTACAATACACGAGCCGGCGCGCGGGTATATAATTTATAACACGTTAAGAGAGGCACAGGCGAGGGACAAAGAGAACACTGAGGTGTGGAGGGCAATGAGCCAGAAAGTCTGGCAGAAAGATTCCTCTCAGTCGAGCCTCGTTCCTCGATGACGAAGGATTATGCTCGTTCGATCGGCGAGCGACCCGTGAAAATAACGCTGATCGCCGCCGAAACAAGTGTCCTAAGCGTGTGAGAATGAAGTGTTCCGTGCGCCGAGTGCTTCTCATCGGGGGAGCGGCTCGTTGATCGTGCTATTTTCGGAATCAGTCGTTGACGAGGCACGGAGATGGCCAATACACCAATCAATTTGTCGGAAGATAAGCGGACATATTTATTTATTATTACACCCTTGCGTTCCCACCGCCGCGGGCTCGCTGGCAACCGATCGCGATCGTTTGTGACGTGATTCTTCGCTTGTAAGTGGATCGTGAACGTTCAAGGAGTCTCGAATTATTTTGGAATTCTATTTTATTCGTTGCTTGTGGAATATCCTGTGGACCCAACTAGTTTCAGAATTTTCATCTTTCAATTGCTATCAGTCTCCTTATTAATTATTTAGTATCTTTGTTGCAAGATTATACTGAAGATAATATAATTACTAGTTTTAATAAGAGCAATAATAAAGAGTGGTACAAAATTACAAAATGGAGAATAAGGACAAGCTTAAAGAATGAAAAGTGCAAACGATATGCAGTAGGCGGGGTTCACCGGATATGCAGCACACTTTGAACCGAATCCTGGAAATAATTCTACAGATCTATCGGTGTTCCTGCTTCAGTTTACTTCATACGTGTAACAGTCCACTTGCAAGATAACTCCGCAACTCGTGTCGGCCATTGGAATCTATTTTATTTCACATTCGCCATGTTTCTAACCTTTCCCGCACTGCGCCGATTAAAGTTTCATTAGACAGGATAGAATCTTTCTACCACCCTCGATGCAGCTCAACCGAGCGTCACAGGGTTCAGATTTTTCAATTTTGCGCTCCGTCTCGTTAGACGAGTACTCCGTGCTCGGCCCGGTCGTCGTATACCTGCAAAGTTGCGAAACGTTGCCAACGCGAGCTTTCAAAGATTCTCGCCTCGTACTATTGCTCAATCCCCCCGGTCGTGGGAACACTTGGCAATAACTGGGCACCCCGTCCCATTCACTCCACCCACGTCCACCCGATATTTCGGAGGTTCAAGCAACTCGCAATAACAAGACAGCCCGAATCCGCGAACGCGGATAATTCGCGCCGATCTTATTAATATCCGTTGTGTTCGCGACCACTCGTCACTCTCAAGATGTTACGTAATCCTATTAACCTCCAATGCAACGTCAAATGCACATTGTTGCATTCAGGCCGAGCCAGACGAACCGTTGCATGCTATTTTGTCCCGTAATTGCTGCGAATATCGATTATCGTAAGCTTTCTAGTTTTCTTAAACGTAACGACGTACAAATTCATCGAGTTTGTTATTGATATTATTTTATTATTTATGGTACACATTTTATTATAGTTGTGTAATATTATAGTAGATGTGTTATATATGTAAGAGTAATATTAGGCGGATCCCAAGAAGGTATCGCGTCAGTAGCGCGACGAGACGCAAAACGTTACGCGGAACAACATTTATAATACCAGAAGTCAACAGTGTGTACCGCGCGGTTCACCACATTGCTAAATCTGAGACTAGCAATCGCTGTTTTCTCAAGTGTTCCCCGAACGCATTCTGCTCTCTGTCGGTTACAACGAGCCTTCTTCAGAGTTCCTCTTACGCCAATAACAACAAGTACTCTTCAACCGGTCGTAGGACGTTTACTCTACCGCTGCAAATATTAACACTCGACGGAAGCGCAGCGGTGCAATTTAAGAATCCCATTTTTATTCGATCTCCACGCCGTCTCGGGCTAGAGCCGACGTAAAGTTCACCTCGGCGGGTCTATTTACAAATTTCGAACTAAATATTCTAACGGACGGTACGCGAAACATATGAATAACCCACAACTACCGAGCATTTGGTGCGATTAATATGCAATCCCTCTAAAAATTGCAGCAATTGATTATTTTCGGTTCCTTCAGACATGCATTCAAGCGAAGCTGTTCGTTTTCAAGATCGTATCGAATATCCAGTGCTTTTAAGATATTAACCAGTTAAGTGTGGAATTTAATTTGAAAAATCTCTCATTGTGCGCGCAATAAAATCAAATAATGAAGTGTATACTCATTAAATGCAGGCCAAATGCACTTAAAATATATCCTAACGAAAAACTAAAGCGAAGAAGAATTACACGTTTGTTTCAAAAAATAATCCATCGTTGAAAAAGTTAGCACCATTAAGTGTTTTATGAAACACAAATCGGAACCGGTTATTTTGACTGATACAGTTCTAGTGTTGAAGACTTTTAAGTAACGTTTTTCAGCTACGAAAATTCATTCAACAGAAACTATACGTGTATTCGATCCGAAAATATTCAAGCGAATAATTATTTTTTTTCGGACCTTCGAAGTTTCTCGAAGCTCTGAAAGAAACTCGCGTGCGCCTATAATTCCGCAGCGTCCCGGAATCCGATAAAGCTTGCCGGATTCCCTGGCTCGTGCCGCGACCCGATAGCCGGCGCTCGCGCGAGCCAATAAACGTTACGTTATCTCGCGAAAATTTTCTGCCCCCTTTCCCGTCCGGCCATCAATGGAATCCCGGGGAAAGAAACATTGTTCCCGCTTGGCTCCCGCTTATCGGCCCTCGTTGCCACCCACTTCGAGCTGTCCGTGCTTGTCTCCGTCCGTACCAGCCGAAGACTATCCGGTTTGACAAGCTCTTCCATCCATCGACCTGCGAAATTCTGTCCGAGCGAAACCGGAGAATTCTTTAAACTTACGTAACACGCTCGACGTTCTACATATTGTAAAACGTAAAACTAGCGAGAAGCAAGAAAATATTGTCAATACCTCGGAACTCCATTCGGGACCGTGAACGAACATTTATAGAAGCTTTAATCATTGCTGTAAAGTTCATACGTTGCAATCGATTTCATTCGAAAAGAAAAGCTCATCCATCAACGTCCTTAAATTTCTACGAACCCGCAATTCGTTCGATATTCCTCGAAGTGCTTCCACTGTTCAACATTTATAGGATGCTCCAATGATTTCCCACGAAACCTACTGAAACACGTCCACCCAATTTCCAGAAAACTGTGCCGTGCGATTTTCAAGGGCGCCGGGCTCGTAATGTCGTTAACAGTTTTATTCCCGCAGAACGATCATTATCTGTTCGCGTGGCAATAAAGCGACTGTATATCAAAAAATCGGGGCAATTCCTGTCCATTAAAGTCGCTCGCCTGCGGACCCGGCGTTTCAGCTGCTCGATATTCTCAGGTAATTAGATCGGGGTCGTAAAAATCGTTCGCCGGCGATAACCCGGCCGGCGGCCAGGCATTCCGCGCCGGGGTATCGGCTTAAGCTCGAGGCACCGCCGCGCGGTGCAGAAAGTTCGACGTCGGTCTCGGGCAGCCAGGGATATATGTTATTTCCATCGGGAACGCGGGCACCGTTGTAAACATGCAAATACCGCAGTTACGTCAAACGAGGAGTGCCGCCTCGGAACTATATTGTGTAAATAACAGTGGCACCGCGTCGCACGCGTCCGCTCCCGTCGTTTTTCGCAGCCAGCGACATTAGTGCGGCCGCATTATTCACGGGCGCCGCGCCGTGTGTGCCGCGATGAGCGAGTGCAGCGCAGACACGCCGGTAAGTGAGCGGAAAACAGCCGAAAATCGGCGAATCGCGGGAAACCGGCTGTTCCGTTGTCGTTTTAGGTGAACCTCTGAACGATATTCGCGTGTTCGGTGTTGCGTGAATAGAAACTTTGAGAAATTCGACGAATTTCTGTTCGTCGAAACTGTTGGTGTAGACGACGAAAGGAAAGGAATATAAAACGAGAGAAATAAAGGAATATAAGTGCTGGAATCGGAGGATCGATCGACATTTTGCTTTACATTATTCGTAGATATCTAATTTCGAAACGAAACTTCAATTCGTCTGAAATCGTCGAAGCGAGAGTGTTTCAATATGATTATCGCGTTACAGGAACGGCGATCGAGTTACTTATGATTGTTAGAGAGAAATTTTTCCCGCGGGACCATCCGTCACGCACGCGAGGAATCGGAACAATTCCCGGGGAATTCCCGTTCGGTTTCGAATTCGCCGGTGATTCCGGCAGCGTTGCGCCCCGAAATCGGACGAGTGCATTCTGCAGCGGGTTTTCATTACATTTCCGGTGATATGAAAGTCAGAAGTTTCGATTGAAAATCGAAGTGGGGCTTCGGTGTTCATTATCGAAGAAACCGGCGGCGGCCGCTAATTGTAGGAAAATTATTCCGTGTTTCATTATCGGAATGGCGGGCCAGGCCGGCGGCCATTATCTCCACGGTCGATTAATTCCCGGCCCGATACATCAATCGGAACGCATCGGGGCCGCGGTCTCGCTTCCCCGTGTTCTCTTTTCGTCATTGCATTTGCGAGTCCGCGGCACAATAGGGTAATCCCGGACGCCACGCGGCCAGATATTCCCGTTCCCGGCCTCCAATTTCCATTCGCGGCCTCCGCAGGGCGGACCGTATTGTAGCCGGAATATAAACCAGAAACGGCGCGAGCCGCTCGCTCTAGAAAATACTAAATCCCTTGGAAGACTGCGCCCGTGTACTTCGCCGCGTATCGAGAATCGATGGGCAATAAAAACATAAATGTAAAATGTACGGGGTGTGGTAGCGACGGAAAAAACAATATTGTGTTTGAGCCGACCGGCGTGCTGGAAGATTAACGTACGCGGCTTTGTGAATTATTCAATCCGAAGACATCAGGCTTCCAGACTGTTGAACATTCGATTATCCGTTTATAGCGTTTCTATTACTTATATTTCATATTTCCTTTCGACTATGCGGATATCGCTGTCAACGGTTATAGAGTGAAATTTGAAAACTGCAACGCAATTTTTTAGAGGATAATAATATTTTACTTGTGTATAGTTAGTAGAAGCAGTGAGCGATGGTCAGACAGTCTCCTATTTTCTAGAAAATCACTTTTCGCATCTTCTATATAATCTTCGCATTGTTCCTATTGTTTTCTAATATTTCTTAATAACAGACTCTATTCTAACCTCTGTAGAGAGCATACTCTAAAACGCGACAGCTAACGAAACGTGTCCACAATCGCGCACTCGACTCTCTATAGTCACGTCGACGGTCCCGAACGTTGAGACACGCAAAAACAGCGGTTTATTCGAATCACGGGTAATCCAGGCTCGATATTCTCGAATAAGAAGCTGCGTCACAAGCGAAACTCTTTCCTCCCGGTTATGGAATCACCTTTCCCCCTTCGTATTACCGCGAACGGCGTCCCCGCGTCGCGCACGTAGTACGCGAATGAACTATCGCGAAAGCTGATACGAGTCGAAACACGCTCAAAAATTCCCGTTAGACGGGGCGCCGTCGGCGGAGCACTTCGCGGAATAGCAAAATAGCGACGTTACAATGCAGCTAAGATAGTATTAACACGATACGGAGCACGGTGAATTCCGAGGACGCCGCGCGAGAGGAAATATAATATTCCGTGTGCGCCTCGGCGGCGCAGTTCCGCGAGGAAAATATCGCGGCGGGGCTGCCGCGGCTTTTCCCGGCAAGTTTCGAGTACGCCATCGCGTTCTCCGCCTTCCTTTAGTCGTTGCAGCGGTTGCGGCGCGATAAAAAGTATTAATACACGTGTACGGGCGGCCGTGTACAGTGGGACCTCGATTATC